GTTTCGTTCTGCTGTGCATGGCATGTGCAAATGACTCGATGGCACTTAACAACAACAACAACAACATGATTGGGCCAAGCATATGCATAATGTTTTTTTTTTTTTTTCCCCCTTTGAAGGTAGATTTTTTTTTTCTTTTTTCATTCCCTCCATCTTTTTTTTTTTTTTTTAATCCTTCTATTGTCTGATTTCTAACTTTAAAATTCCAAGCACTCTTAACACAAGTGTCAGAACACAGCTTGTAGAACTTTGAGTTATGGAGTAACCTCCAACCAACTCAAGTTTTTGTTTTTAAACTGATATTAATGTGGACAAATCCTTTGAGTATATACTCTAGTATCTGACCCTCACACAAATTATCAATAATATATAGCATAAGGGTTAAGGACATGGTCTCTATATTATTCAGAGTAAGCAATGTTCTGCTGCTTTAACAAACTACCCAATAAACATGGCTTAAATCAACAAAGATTTTTTTTTTTTTTTCTCATTCACATCATAGTTTGAAGTGAGTCATAAAGGCTTTATCCATCTTATGGCTACACAATCTGGAACATAGGACCTTCAAAGTTGCCACCAAAGGAGAAGAAAGAAATGGAAAATGAATTTGTACTCCATTCTTGACCACTGGGACTGAAAAATGGCATTATTTTCTCTATTCATTGAGATGTGGACTGGTACATATACATATACATATTACTGCTACATACGTCTGCCATGAGCTCTGAACCCAAAGCTGCTTCACTTCAAATCTCACCTCTGCTACTTAATAGTAATTTGGCCTTGGTAAATTATTTAACCTCTCTGTGCCTCAGTTTCCTCATCTGTAAAGGTGGATACATGTTTAGCAGAGGCAATATTGATGATTAACATCCCTCTGTTAGTTTTATTGTAAGAATTAAATGAGTTATTCATATAAAGTGCTTAGGACAGTACCTGCTACAGGTAAGTAACAATAATGGTTTTAGAAAAATGGTTCTTGACATATATCACCTTCATAAATAAAGTCAGCACCTATTTGTTATTTATCTCATGGTCAGCCATGAAGAAGGAAGAAAGAAGGATCAAGGCAGACACTGGAGAAAAGAACATTGCTTATACCTGCTAAGAGTAGTGACTTTGAGTTTCTCTGCAATCCTTGGGAGATTCTACTATATACATGGAACAGCAGTTGCATACTCTTCTGTTAGAGTCCAATACATCTACAGTGTGAGATAGGAATGATAGTCTTATGTGTGCATGCATCATGGGGGGATGGGGGTTGAGGTTGTGAAAGATTCTTCTAAACATTTATGAAAAAGAAGCCTTGTTGGCAAGAACAGTTAAGCATTCGACTGTGAACCACCCAAAGTTTAGTAGCTCAAATCCACCCAGCAACTCTGAGGTAGAAAGATGTGGAAGAACTGCTTCTGAAAATATGACAGCCAAGAAAACCATATGGGGCAGCTCTACTCACATGGTGTCACTGTGAGTTGAAATCGACTCAACAGCACCCTTCAACATTTATGAGAAATTTGGATCATTCTGTGTATTTTTTTTTCAGGAGATGGTCCATGTATTCATTAGTTCCTTAAAAAGGTCTGTTACTTAAACATAATTAAGGTCCCTTATCCCTAATACTCTGTAAGCATGGCTATAAAAATGTGAAAGGAAATATTGAGAGGATAGGGCCCCATGACGTAATAGACACTGTCCATGACTGCAAACCTAAATGTTCTGTGATTTCTTTTCCAGGGAAGAAAATTGACCAAAAGGAGAAGTTCTGGCAGGAATTCTATCTTCCAGGAATAATGTTGTTGTTGTTGTTGTTATGTGTTGTCGAGTCGGACCCGACTCATAGTGACCCCTCCTTGGGTTTCTGAGGTGGTAGATTGCCCAACTATCCATCCAAGGAGTGGCTGGTGGGTTTGAACCACCAGCTTTCTTGTTAACAGTCAAGAGCCTTAGACACTACACTACCAGAGCTCCAGGAATACGTAGCTTCTCTCTGCTCCTCAGTCTCCCATTGCCCATCTTCTCTCAGTCAGGCAGATAACTGGGTGTAGAAGATCTGCTCTGGAAGATGGATATGAACCTTTGAAAACCTAATGAAGACCTGAAAGTAAGCCACTAATCTGTTTAGCAACTCTCTGAAGCTAAAACTGCCTTGGTTCTGTGAGTAAAGGTAGGTGGAGCAGTGGCAGAAACTAAAGAATACGTGGTATTTATTTGCCAGAGTTGGTATGGGAGAGTTAAAACCACTTTCTAAAGTTACCCTACACTCTGCTGCTTTAGTTCTCATAACATGTCTCTGTGGATCATTAATATGTTTACAAGCAGATTATTTTGTATGAAATATTTATTTACCCTTATTATTAAGATGCCTGTGTTTCACTGGAAGCAGCAGCTTAGCAGCCTCTAAAGCACATGATTGAAACAGGCATGCATATGAAAGGAGTACTTTGCCTGTGGACCATGAGCAAGGAAGTCATCATGTTAAATGGTGATGAACTAACAAGAAAAAACAAACAAAAAACACACTTGAAAACTGTATTACATAAAATAATTTACTTCTCATTCAGAATGACCTCTCAGACCTTCATGTGAGATAGCAGTCTGTGAATACAGGTACAATTTGAAAGTCATGACAGTTATGATAGGGCAAGACCAAGAGAGTTATATGTTTATATCTTGCAGTCAACTAGAGATAGAACCGTGAGAATATGTATAACAGAAGACGAACTCTGATGAGGAACTCTGGGAACACTGAGAACAAGATTGCCAGAGAGCCAAGAAAGATACAATTGAGAAAACCCATATCTTTAATATGATGGGACTTAGATACACACACTCTGATGTCTCCATTTTGCACTCTAGATATTGACTTAAAAGCCACCAAGGTGCTCATGCATGTAATTCATACTGGAGAAACTGGTGGTGTGTGCATATATGTGTATGCACTTCCAAAGGCAGTAGTTTTTGAAGAATGAGAAGAAAATTACTTCCTGGACATTCATTAAAAATTCAGGTGATATCCTGCACCTCCATTTATAAAACAATACAATAATAAAAATATTATATAAGACATCATAAATAACACAAATGAGAAATTTTCAAGTATTTCACATGCCTTGAAAAGTTCCAAGTAGTAGTTCTGACAATGGACATTTTTTCTCCCTCTCATTTAATCTCAGGGTCTAGAAATCCCTTCAGTCTCAACCCTAACATTTGGGATAAAATGGACAAGATTCTACCTCAAAAGAGGAAGTACATGAAAGCTTTTCAGTTTGTGAAAACATGTTTCCCCTTTATAAAATATTATTTTTCCCCAGCTGCTGGTTTATAACAGTAGACACATAGCCTAGAGCCATTATAGAAAAATAAAAAGTGAAAAAGACAATGAACTAAGGAGCCTCATCTAATATCTAAAGTTCTCAGGAAAAGCAAAGTGAGAAGAGCACCTTGAGTAGGAAAGGGACAGAAGAATAGATAAGAACAGTAACTTGGAAATTCCGTGTCCTTGTTCAGCCACTGCCATATAGTTGGCATAGTTGGCAAGGTCCTAACTTCATTTCTTCATTTAGATCAAGAATCCCATCTCCCAACTTCATACCAGCCCCAGCCACTAGGAATTATCCACCAAGCACCCAAGCAGAGAAGGGAAGGCCAACAGCTTCGGGACTCACAAGTGCCATTAGTGATAACACCAGCCTGTGACAACACTGTGTCATATGACTTTATGATATTTGCTCCTTAGAATACTGTTCAACTTGGAAGTTGTCAGTAGTTAAAATAAACATGAAATCCCTTGGATGCCTCTCCAACAAGACAGATGGAATTTTACATAATCAACTTTCCACAGGTTAGCATTTTTTTTTCTTTTTTAGCTTGCTTGACAGTTCAGTTTGCCCAGTTCCAACGCAGGATGAAAGATCAAAACATGCAATGTAAGTACGTGCATACACTCTAGTTATGAGCACCTAGGGTCTTTCCCATATTCTCTTGCAAAAATATACACACACATACATATGTACATATAATAATAGATCAACCTCATCTAAAGCCTGGAGAAAGTGCTAGGTTACATGATACATGTGCATATGTGCATGTCACATGAAGTGTACCAACCAACCACCCTGAGGTCAAACTGTTGGAAGGAGAGACCTGCCAACAATCTTTGAAAAGCCAGACCTGCAAGGCCAATTATGGATACTTGCTCAATTGGCACCTTAAAAGAAATTTGGGGAAATTGTACTGGAATGTGGTCCTGCCCTGATGAACACCAAAACACCAAAATGAAATCTAGTTTCTACGTGGGAGTGACTCATACATGCCAGGCAGCATGGATACTAGGCTACAACGTGGTTAAAGCATTGGTGCTTAATACAGATTGATATTTGGCCTCAGGTTTCCAGATCATAGAGTCTTGTCAGTTTAGCCTTCCACCTCCAAGTAGGAATTAGGCACATTGGGAGACAAGAGAAGCACAGTCTGCAGAACTCTTGGTTCCTCTCTGCTTCTCTGACCCACAGCTGGAAGGGTTGGCCAAATCAAGATAGAATCGGGACTTGAGGAAGCGGCGGTAGGAATCCTTCTCCATCAAGTTGAAAATCTTCTTCTGGGCCTCATCAAAGCAGGTTATTGTAGGCTCCAACATGTTTCGGCTTGTCTCCTCTCTGGTGCCTGCATCCAGGTTCACCTGAAGGGCAAAGGCCATTAGACATCTCATCCTGCTGATGGTGGGAGGCTGCATGCTTTTCACTAAACAATCACTCTAGAAAAGGCAAAATGTACATGTAGGCTCTTCCCTGGCCCATGTGAAAGAGTATAACACACTCTGCTTCAGAGTAGGTAGGCAGGCGTTTTCTGTTCTCCCTCACAAACAGGGGAGATCAATCAAAAAATTCATTAACAGTGCTCATCTGGTCATTTGGATGACAGAGCTCTTTTTCTTAACTGACTTATTTGGGTTGCCAAAATCATAATGACCTGCTCCACTATTATATCTTTTCCTTTAACTCACATGATCCAAAGACCCATGCCATTGACTACTACTTCCAGAAAACTTCACTAAGACCCAGGGAGTTGTTTGCCATGAAAACCCACCTCTTTTGTTGCCTGGACTGAGATGAACTCATTATAGATCTTTTTGGCCTTAGGACTTAGTTTGGAGGGTGATTTGATTTTCTTGTACTCTTCACAGCTGATCCAGAAATCAATGTTCTCCTCACTGTATTCAGACTTCAAGAAAGCTTTGAAAGCTGCCAACCCACCTATGACATGGGAGAAAGAACCATAGTAATCATCACACTGACTAGGCTTTTGGATATTAAGTTTCAGAAAAAAGCTAAAGTACCTGGTAGACTATGGCATGGGTAGAAGCAATCTCTCTTTTCCCTCTACTGTGAGGGTCACTTGGGGTTAGATAACCCTGATTTGTGTCTACTTATCTACTGGACCCCAGCTATACTTAGTAATTATTGCTCAAGATTTGAAGTCTCTTTCAAGAAATGATGAGCAATTTCAGTAAAAAGGGTTTTGTTTCTGAAGTGCCTATGCTGCTACCAATTGTGAAGTAGGTTTGGAGAAAGAAACTGAGGTTGATTCTGCAAGAAGATTTCAATATATAGAATTTTTATCTCTCTATCACTTTTTATGTGGTGAAAGAGATGATTTTCCACATTATTCTTGAATTAACTTACTAACTTTTCATAGTATATCAAAAGCAATTGAGCATAAAATTTTAAGCAGACTGGGTATAAGACCAAAAAGTACCCTGAGTTTGGGAGTTAGACTGAACACAGCCTTTCTTCAGTTCTTATCAGGCCAAGCATAGAATGAATAATTTGTCTTATCCAGAGTCCTTTTATCTTAATCCTGGGGTAGGGAGTGTGAAGTGGAAAGCTGTCAGACTTACATTCATGGCTAATCAGGTTTTCCAAGGATTCAGCCCATTTCTTGACTTCTTCTTGGCTTACCCTAGAGACATTAAAAAGAATGACTTGAAGGCTATGATGCAAAATTGGGTCAAGAGATCAACAATCCTTAATACAATGCACAATTGTATTTTCCATCCTCATGATGAGTCCTTTTGCTGATCAGGGTGCCCTTTTCACTAAATGTATGGAACTTTCAAATGCAATTCTGATCTCCATGAAAATGGAAGTCATCTTGATCCTGATTTGACTTAACTGGGGGCATAACTTCCTTTTCTCCTTATGGAACATCTCCTTCATCAGGTAATTAATATCCAAGGGTTTTTCTCTTACCTCTGGCAAATGACAACTTTATCCTTTTTGCTGTGGGAGGAATTATGTTCACAGGAATCAGACTTCTGTAGCAGGAAACCTAGCCGGTGCTTCATATCTTTTGCACTACACAGAAGAGGAAGAAAGGGAATTAATGATTACCCAGATTCCTTTAAAAGACATCCTAGTGATAGAGCTTGAGGAGACCAGTAGTGGAATAGGGAGAGAGGCAGTTTATTTAGGGAATGAGAGTTGGAATGAACTCTCACAAAAATGGGACTCCATTGCTGCTTCTGCCCATAATTTACTACAAAACTTTGAGACCAGTCATAACACAGGCTCATTTGTCAGTAACAGGAATTCTGCCCATTTAGTCTATCTTAAGGACTCTACTGTGGATCCATCATTTTGGCTATTGAAAAATTTTGGTATCTTCAATAGAAACACATTAAAAACATGAATGTTTTCTGGAAAACTTTTTGAAACTGAAAAGCAAGAAGTAACTGCAAAACATGGCATCTTCTTACTGCATGCCACCTTCTGGTGGGTGGTTGCTATTTCCATCAGCTTTACTGCTGGCAGAAAGGAAGATGTAGAGGCACCTTGGGAAGGCAATGGTCTATTCTATTCCAGTCATGGATGTGATTGTCTAAGCAAGTCATGCTATGGGATACACATGAACTGTAAGGTGTGTAGAACAAGAAGAGGGAATGGACAATGGGGCTGAGGGGAACTAATGCATATGCTGGCTTGCAAATATGAGGTGGCGAAACCTTGAGCTCCTCCAGACTTGCCTCTAGGGAATCTCCTACTGCTGCTGCTGTATTTATTTTTAATATCTAGATTATAAAGGATATTTATGTGCCAAAGGGCATATAATGTTTAAAAGTGATGAGAAGCTAGCAAGAGTCCTCACTGAAGCTGGGTCCTGTTTCCTTAGTGTCCAGTTTATTGCCAGGGTCTACTAGGTAGCTAGGGTTCAACAAGACTCCTGATTTTCTCTAGTTGATTCCATCTAGTTGATTCCAACCTATACAACACAGCAGAATTGCCTCATAGGGTTTCCAAAGCTAGAAATCTTTACGGAAGCAGGCTGCCTCATCTTTCTCCCACAGAGCAGCTGGCAGGTTTGAACTGCCAATCTTTTGGTTAGCAGCTAAATGCCTTAACTACTGTGCCACTAGAGCTCCTTGACTTACTCTAGAGGGAGGACCTTTTAATAAGCTTTCAGCTCAACTTTCCTGCTCTAAGAATTAGCCTTTTGTTTGTATCTCTTCTATTTTAAAAGACAAAACAAATTCATGAAAGAGAAATTCCACTTTAAAAAGAATGAATGACCAGCTGCTCCTACTTAGAGGGGAAAAAACAAAGCCACAAAGATATATTTGAATGGCTACTGATATACTAGAGGCTTATTATCTATGTGAGTTTTTCTCCCGCAAGCTTGAATTCCATTATGTTCTTGGACTGCCTCTTAAATAGTATTTTCTCCCCTTCACAAGACTATTTTTCCTCCTCTATTTCCCCTGCAGATGATTCTAAGGGGATACAAAACTCCCCTTAATGATAGCAGGCTATGCTCGTGGAGGCTAACCTGATTCTAAGGTGATTATGTAGCCATATTGTGATTCAGATCAAACAGAAATAATTTCATATGTCCATGTGCCTGACTCTGAGAACTGATAATCCTTTACCAGTGCAGGGTCATTTCATAAAGAGTTGGAATTATGCTTAGCACAGAAGCTACTTGCCCATATAACACAATACGACCATAAAAAGAACTAGAATGGTCTCAGAGGTCAGTGGAGTCAAAGAAAATGGATTTATTTCTTGCTCTGCTACCCATTACCTATGTGACCTTGAGCAGCTCGTATCACTTCTGGAGTCTCAGGCACCAACACTGGGATGAAGGTGTTGGAGTATATGGATTACATTTCCCCAGTAAAGAGAGTGAAGGTCAGTTTTCCCTGCTACTATAGCGTTCACCACTTGCCTGCTAACCAGACGGCTGGCGGTTCAAATCCACCAGCCACTCCTCAGAAGGAAGGTTGGGCAATCCTACATCCGTAGTGATACTGCCTCGGAAACCTAAGGAAGGGGTCGCTGTGAGTCGGGTTTGACTCGACGGCACATAACAACAACAACAACATAACGTTCACCTGCCCATGTTAACTTCTTAGCTCCTAGAGGACAGAAGTCCAGGGTAATCTTTGTCTATCTCCCAAAATGTTTACCAGAATATAACTTTCTCCTGACCCTCCTGATATTTTGTATGATTAATCGCATCTGTGAGTTAATTGATGCATGGAGTAATTTGTTCCATTCATTTCAGGATATTAATGGTGGCAGTCAGAGGTACTTATTTCATAGGTAGTCTCTGTCTGATTCTCCTGCTTCATTTTAAAGAAGCCAAAAATGTTTTTCTAATCCTGAATGACAGATAGAATATATAAAAGATCACCTTCTTAGTCATGCTCAAATGATTGTGCTTTCTGGGATTATTTCTAAATTGGAATTTAAGGTGATCTCTATTTTCAGAAGATAGGGGACGAGGTGAGATTGACTTTAGATTGACTTTTTACCTTATATCTTTAACTTTAGAAGTAAATAGTATAATATGCACTGGATTATTTTTTCTCTGAGAGTATTTCATTATACCTTGTAAAAAAAAAGCCACAGACATATGAATAGCTGCATATCTTTAAATTAAGGGGAAAAAAAGAGAGAAAGAGAGAGTGCATTGAAAAATAAACAATGTCTTGAGAATGAGATCTTCTACAAGATGTTTAATTGATTTATCAAGATTGATACTTCCTTTCAACCAGCAGATACATAGCCATTTCAAGAATTACAGATGGGGGCAGGGGAAAACAGGAGATTAAATTTTGAAAGTCATTTCTTAAGGTTCCATTTGCTTATGAGAACATAGAGAGTGGAAGATACTGAAGCACCACACAGAAAGCATAGTGCTTTCCTGTGAGATACACAAACCTCATAATGGGGCAGCTTCCTCTAAAAAAAAAAAAAAAAGAAATAAAGACCTCGTACACTATCAGGAAGCACACAACCCCAATTATATGCATGCCAGTGATAATCAAATAACAGTAATCACAGGTGGAGATATTACAGACCATTTTATATAGTCCTAACACCTCTTATCACTTCTTAACTAGAGAGCTAGTTTGGCTAGAGGACTTGGTTTAAACTCAGAATAACCTTCAAAACTAGGTCATGTAAAACAGCATATAGGTACTAGAATTTGGGGAGAATACCTCTTAACTCACAATTCCTAGCTAGTCTTAGAGGAGACTAGGAAGGTGATGCTCTCCTTACCACATTGTTTTTAATCCCAAAGAACTGGGTTAATAAATTGGAAATGTAAGTAACTGAGAAGTCTAGGCAAAAGTTTAACATCATTAGTAGCTGAAACTAATCTTACCTCCTCAAGCAAGAAGCTGGCAGACCTGCAAGTCCTTTGCACATCTTGTTTCCTCTTAGATTAACACGTCTAGAAACGAAATGCAGCAGGAGGAGCTGTGGCTTCTGTTTTGAGCACACTTTGCTTTTGTCCCTGTGTGATGCTGTCAGAAGCCTCTGAGCTTCTCCCTCTCAAGCCTGTAGGGGTGGGTCTTTTTTATAGTCCAGCCTTGACTATCCAGCCAATCAGATGGCAGCTCTGTAATGCCATCCTCTCTGCTTCCCTCTGCCTCTTCCAGCCCTGAGAGAGATAAGAAAGAAAAGACAGATGTATCAACAATGCAAAGTGAATAAAGGGGAGAAAATCATCTCACAAAGTAGACATACAGAAAATAAAAATGTACCCAGTGTTTCAGCCAGTGTCTGAAATACTGAATTTCTGAAAAAGGAAAAAAAAATAATAATAAGAGTTTATGACTGCAAAACATGGAGTTTATTCCCTTGTCTGCAAAACAACATCAAGAAAAGTTGCCTCCTGGAAAGAAGGTGCCAGCAGGAGTCCATGGGTTTACTTTGGGGCTGTCAATGTACTTCCTCTTTTTGATTAGAAATCTGATATCATATACAGTTCAAGATCTGATCCTCACCATTTCCAAAAAGGAATTGGCAGGATCATCTCCAGGCAGTGATTTGCGGAAGTTGCATTCTCAATGGTCACATGCAAATGGGAGTGTGGGGAGAAATAGCTGGATGTCAGAAAGATATTTGCCTGGCAGCATAGAAAACCTAATCTAGAGAAAATGGATTAGCTACTTCTGTCATCAGCGTGATTTTTCAAGAAATCTTACTAAGAAAGAAATTTGCTAGCACTGACAATCTTTTCTGCACATGCATGCTTCCTAGATAAAGCTCAAAACAGCAGCTTGAGGAACAGAGTAGGAAGTAAATGAACACACATGGACAGCCATTTTTCTTTGCAAATGAGTTTACATCTTACGTGAGTCTAGGTCCAAAATGATAATTCAAAAGCAAAGAGAGAGAAGAAGCAAGCAGTAGGAAAAATGTATAGTTTGTATTGCATCTCACCAGACTTCAAATGAATAAAATTCCAAATATTAGGACAATCAGTATTTATTTATTTATTTTTGTATGCAGCGTGATAGACCGAAAACTTCAAAGACTTGTGCAGGTGTTTCACATCTTATAGTCAAATACCTACATTGAAGTTACAGCAGAATCTTCTTCATGGAGGTAAAGCTATATGTGTAAGGAAGAAATTCTATGTCTGCATAGAACAGCTTTCATTTTGAGAGCAGATAGTTTCCTTATCATCAGATATAGTGAGCTGTACATATGAAAAGCAGAGTCATCAACTGGTTGAGTTGGGGAAGATGAAAAACAGATGGGTTCTAGTGATATGTAAAGGTATTCAAGAAGATACAAGGGGAGATGGCAAGAAGCTTATGTCCTACTACCCATGCTGCCACCCCACCCCACCTAGCAGAGCAAGGAGATGCCAAAGAAATAGAAGGATGTAGAGCAACCATTATCTCCAAAAGATGCATTTCAATGATAAGAGAAAGCTTCTAGCCTTCTCCCATTAAGGCTAAAAACCATTTATTAGACTTGCTACTGGGCAACTTTGCATTGAGATATATAAAATAGAGCAAATAAAATTTCTTTGCACAGCTAGCACCCTTCCTTGGTGAAAACAAGAAGGTACATCCAAGGAGATGAACCAGCTGGAAATGGAACCAAAAAGGAGAGACTGAATGGGTGAGAAGTTTATAAAAAATGAACCAGGGCCTTCTTTGCTTAGTTGGGCACCTAAGACAGCTAGCATTCAAGGAATGTGGTTTTAAGAACATTAAACTCACTGCTGTCGAGGGGGATCTGACTCATAGGGACCTCTCCTTGGGTTTCCAAAATGGTATCGCTATGGGAATAGATTGCCCAATCTTCCTTCTGAGGAACGGCTGGTGGGTTTGAACCGCCAGCCTTCTGGTTAGCAATCAAATGCCTTAGGGACTACATTGGAAAGATCCAAAAAAGTTGACTGACTCTTGAAATTCCACAATAAGGATTTTATATCTTGAGCAGAGATCAAAAAGAAGCCTAATTTGTCATGTGCTAATATAAACAGTTTGAGTAAATGAGCCAAATAGGACTATAAAGATAATCTAGTCCATCAGCCTCATTTTACTGAAGAGGAAATAGAGGTCCATATTGGGGAAGTGACTTGCCATGGTCTCAGTTTTTTACTGACAATTTGGTCTAGACCATAGGTTTCTTGAAGTTAGGTTATATGGACTTTCCACTGTGTTCTATAACCCCACACAGTCTTATCAAATGAGATAAAGTGTGTAAACAAAGGTATTTCTGAACGGTAAAGTGTTATGCAAATAGTTTTTTTTTTTTTTTTATTAATAGATTACACATAGTAGATAACAAAACCTAATATTAATTTTATGCATTTGATTCAAGGAAGACTCACACTGCCCAATTTTCTCTTGCTCCCTGGGAACAGAAGACACTACAGACCTGCCAGTCTAATTCTCTATTAAAACCAGATCTTTTTAACTCTTTCATGACCAAGTGATTTTCTGTTTTGAATTTTTTGTTGATACCATGTTTTCAGTAAGTCAAGAAAAAACTTTTTTTTTTTTTTTTTTTTGAGGTAATACAGACTTTGATACAGTGATGTGGGATACATAGGTCCCAAGTAGACTTTGGTGGTAGGATTGGTGGGGATGAGGACCATTTCTTCAGATTCATGCAGTTATACAAGTCCCCGGCAGGTGGTAGTATTTACTACAACTACGAGAAACTGAGAGAGTGACAATGTAGGTGGGTGATCACAGAAGTGTTAACTTTATTGTTAGTCTGTTGCTCTATTCAATGAGTTCTGGTAGCACAGTGCCTAAGATATTTGACTGCTAACCAGAAGGATGGTGATTCAAACCTTCCAGCTGCTCCACAGGAGGAAGATGAGGCTATCTACTTCCATAAAGATTTAATGCCTCGGAAACCCAATGGGGCTAGCTATGAGTCTGAATCGACTCGACAGCAGTGGGGTTTTTTGTTTGTTTGCTTTTTGGTTGCTCTATTCAGGGATTTCATACTTGCTCATTTCCTAACACCATAATTTCTTGCTTTTATTCCTTAAGTGTTTTAGTACTTTAAAAGATGCTTGAAATACTTCAGATATGTTGACTTTTTTTTTTCCTTCACTATGGTACTTGATGATTATGTTTGAGAATGCAAGAACTGGTACATCATAGTACCTTGACAATTTCCACCCTCTTTCTCTGATATACATAAGGCATTAAATTCTATTATTCTATGATTTGTCATTCTCACATGATTCTCGTGGTGTGGAAAAGCTTTCCTCTGAAATTATCTAATTTTTATTTATTCGTTCATTTAGGACATACTTGTGGAGCACGTACTCTGTGCCAGGTACTGTTTGAAAAACTACAGTTACTGTGATGAACAAGCAGGCATAGTGCCCTCCCCGGTGGTTTTCATTCCACTGGAAGGAGTCAGACAATACACACTAAACAAATAAGATAATTCCAGAGTTTGACTCACACCATGAAAAAAGAGAGAGAGAGAGAGAGCAGGAGACGTGACAGAGAGTAACTGGATGAGGAAGGGCTCCGTTAGCTAAGATTGTCAGGAAAGGTCTCTTTGAAGAGGTGGTATCTGAAATGAGATTTGATGGATGAAAAGACAGAGCAATGCAAAAAGCATTGAAAATAGTGTTCTTTGTAGAAATAAGGGCAAGTGAAATGTTCTCAAAATATTTTGTTCTCAAAACAAAAACAAAACAGAAAGCTAGAGAATTGAGAATAAGGAGAAGATAGCATGAAATTAAGGTAGTAAGGTAGAGCCAGATCCTTGAGTGACTTGTGACTTGTAGGCCATGGTCAAGAGTCTGGAATGATGAATAGATTACAAAAAAAATGTTATACAGACAATGAAACATTCCAAACAAACAAACAAAAAAACCAAACCAATTGCTGTCACGTAGCTTCTGACTCACAGCTGCCCTATAGGACAGAATAGAACTGCCCCATATTGTTTCCAAAGGTGTAATCTTTATGTAAAGTCATTTGGCTGCTAACCAGAAGGTCAGTGGTTCAAACCTACCAGTTGGTCAGCGGGAGGAAGAGGAAGTAATCTACTTCCATAAAGATTTACAGCCTTGGAAACCCAACCGGGGTTGCTATGAATCAACTCAATGGCAGTGGGTTTGGTTTCTTTCTTTCTTTCTTTGGTTTAATCTTTATGGAAGCAGACTGTCACATCTTTCTACCATGGAGCAGCTGGTGGGTTTGAAACCCTGGTTAGCAGCCGATTACTTAATCACTGTGCCACCAGGGCACCCAGTGATAAAGATAAATGAAGTCCTGATGCCTGCCACAGCTTGGATAAACCTTGAAAACATTATGCTGGGTGAAGTAAATCAATCACAATCATAAACATTGTATGATTTTACTAATATGAAAGGCTCTCTGGTAGTGTAGTGGGAAAGGCATTTGGCTGCCAACCAGAAAGTCAGTGGTTCAACCACATCAGCTGTTCCATGGGAAGAAGATGAAGCAATCTACTTGTGTAAAGATTTACTGCCTTCCAAACCCAATAGGGGTCTCTATGAGTCGGAATCAACTCAGTGGCAGTGGGTTGGGTTTGGTTTTAGTAATATGAAATACTTACATTAGACAAATGGATTGATAACAGAATTTAAAGTTATAAAAAGCAGAAGAGATGGGGAAGAAGGGAATCTTTGTTTAGTTAACATTGAGTTTATCTGTGCAGATAAAAATATGGCAATGGATGTTGGTGATGGTTGCACAACATAAATGATTGAAAAATGTCAAATTGGCAAATGTTATATTTTTGCAACAATTTTTAAAAAGTTTTTTCTTTTTCTTTTTCTTTTTTAAAGTGCAATGGAAATACACTGATGAGATTGAAGTGAAGGAGGCATATGATCTGATCCCTCTGGCTGCTGGGGAAGCATGAGGGGATCTTACAGAGTTCTAATCTCCAAACTGTTATTTCAAAGAAACAATGAGAGAGGGAGAGGAGAGACAGGAAAAAAGTATGTTGTTTGTCTTGCCTTCAGATAACTGTGACAATATTCAGTCCTACCAGTACTTCAGAACACCCAGAGAA